TGATAGTTACATCGAGATAATGAACAGATTTGCTTATTGTGGGATCAATTTTAATATTTATATCTTTATGTTTGGCTTTTTCAAGTTCAATATTAATTTCATCCATGGTTTTATTTGTTGTCATAAAAATATCATCGATATATCTACATGAATAAGAAGATTATATGTTGTTATGAATATTATAATTAGTTTACTAACCTTCCATAGACTTCATGATGTTCTATTTGATGTTCAATTAAATCTTGTTCCCATTCCATGAGATAGATGTTTGCTAAAACTTGTGTAAATGCTGCGCCCGTAGCTCCACCACTCATTTGTTTATAATATTTATTATTATAAGCAAAACAGTTTGTATCCAAAATTAAACCAGCCATTTTCATTATATGATCAATTGTAAATGTGCCAATTTTTCCTTGATAACAATATTTAACATAAAATCGAGCTAATGCTGTTAATGCACCATCTCTTGGTATCATTGTGTAAAGATTTTCATCATCAATAGTAATAAATTTTGTTCTTGATGTAAAATAACCATCTGCAACATATTTTTCTAGTTGTCGAATAACATCTATATCATTAACAAATGTATATTTACGAGTAACTTTCAAATAGATAGGTGCTAAAATATCATTCAAAAATTTCGATGCCAACGTTGCAGGTGCATGTATACTGGCTACTATAGGTCGTAATGGTGTTTTAGGCTATAAGAAAAAAAAGAATAAATATTAATTTATGGTTTGATATAAATTTACTTTGTGTGGTTTAGGAATACCATGATAATGACCTACTTCTAAACTATTTAATTTTGGAATTAATCGGTTAGATTGTTTTTTTGTTAAAGCCTTTTTCGTTACGAGATAATCGAATAGAGTTTGTACAGCATGTAAATTATCGGCCAAAGGACAACGACCATTTTTTATTTCTTCATAAGCTTCAGTTTTTAACATATATTCTTCTGCTTTACGTTCAAAATCAGCTGCTTTACCAATATAAAATACTTTACTCTTATCCGTTCGACGTATAACAATATCTGATCGTTGCCGTACTAGACGTTGAACATATTGAACGATTTTATATTCACGTTGAGCACGAGTTTTTAATTTTTTTGATACATTTTTAGATTGGTATTTATGAAAGATTA